GCATGGTGGCGTACACCTTTGAATTCCAGCACTCTGGGAGACACAGGCAGGCAGATCTCTGTGAGTTTAAGGACAGCCTGGTCTACAAAGCGAGTCCAGGACAGCCAAATCTACACAGAGAAACCCTATCTCGAAGAACCAAAATAAATAAGTAAATATTTATTTATAAAAATGATATATATCTATAAAGTTATGGCACGCAGGACCTGGGGAGATAGTTCAGCAGCAGATATCATGTATTTGCATGCAGAAAACTGGAGTCTGGGTTCCCAGCTGTTAATATCGGATGATTCACATTGCCTATAACTCTAGCTCCAGGGAATCCAAGGCCTTCTTCTAATCTCTCCAGGTACATGTGCATGTACACACACACACACACACACACACACACACACAAATAAAATCAACCTTTTAATGGTATTCACTTAGACCATTCAGTTATTAAAAATGTTAAGTTAAAACTGTTACTAGTTCGTGTAGATCATAAATTAACAAGCCCTTAGTACACACTACCTAAAACCCTAGGGTGTTTACCCGGCATGCATCACGCCCTGGGGTCAGTCCCTAGTACCACATAAACTGAATGTGGTGGGAGGTAGAGATAAAGTCATCCTTGGCTACAGAGCACATTCAAGGCCAGCTTTCCATACACAAGTCCCTTTATAAAAATAAAAACAAGTAACAACAACCAAAAATGCTGTCAGCAACAAAACTCCACCAGTGCAGAGGTCTCGCAGGTCCGAGGTGCTGCAAAGTCCCACTTTGTTAGTCCCACTCTGCTGGCCTTGGCACAGGCCCTTAGGTCACTTTCTCCCACCTCATGCCTACAGTACCCTGCTCCTTATAGAAAATGCTTTAGAGCAGGTAGCACCATTCCTGACCCCTCCTCGGCTTCTCAGTGACCAAATGTCCCTGAGCTGGGCCTCTCTGTATCAGGCTCCTCATCTGTGAAGAGGGCAGAGGAGCTCCTGAGCTGCCCTGGCTTTCTCAGAAGTTTTGTAAGCTCTGGTACACGCACAGGGAAAGACTGGCCAGAGCTGATGGCCTCTCTTTGTTTTTGTCCTAGCAACCAAGCCTAGAGGGGAGGGCAGTGCCTGTGCTTTGGGAGCCTTCAGAGTCTGCCACCTCACTTCCTGGCCGTAGAGCCCTGGGCACTATCCGCCATCCTCAAAGGACTCAAGGTGTGTGTTAGGAGGGAGAACAGGGCACCTTGCTGAAAGTCTGCATCTCCGCCATGGGTATGGGGGCAGCCAGGCCGGACCCCGGACAGCATCAGTTGAAAGCCTTGGGGGAGACAGGCTGACAAAAGCTGGGGTCCAGGAACCAGCAAAATGAGCCACACACACATCCTTTGATGGAGTCATTGCCTCTGCTCCTCCTGGCAGGCAGCCAAAGGCATTCTCACACTAGCCTTTAAGGACGGATGGTGTGGCCCTGTATGTCCATCACTGGCAGAGTTATAGAAAGAGTCAACAAGGATCAGAGCATGGCACACTTGGCTGCAGTTCAAACAGGTGATTAGATATGTTCAAGGCCTCGGAAATGGATCCCACAACATGCCTTAATTCATCCCAAAATGTTGGGAGCTTGCCAACCTACACAGCCATGGCTACTCAGCCCCAGCACTACAAAATACAAAAACAAAAGCCTTCAGGAGCCAGACTGATGGGGCTCCTGCAGGCCAAAACTGGAACAAACTGAGCAACAAATTAATTAAACACAATAGTCATCAATCAATAGAAGCATAGTAGTCCCTGTTACTAACAAATGGGCAGCTACAAAGGGGAGCCTGTGTTTCGCAGTGCAATGCCGAGCAACTTCAGGTATTGGAAAGTCATTGATCTGCAGCTATCACGAAGATGGATACAGCAAGGACCATGGACGTCAAGGTCATGGCAGTGGGTGAGAAAGCCTCTGTTTGCGGGCTTTTAAATCATGTCTTCACAGAGTTCTTGTTATTTGAAAATGAGAAAAAAAAACCAAAACAGCAATAATTATATGGTGGAGGAGTCTAGCAGCACACTGACAGAGCAATCACAGCAGCCTTCAGGGAACTGTGTGACTGTGCCTTTCCCGAGTGCAGCACCAGTGCAGGCTTGCAGCTGAGCATCCGTGTCCCCTCAGAACCGTGGGGATGAGGAAAGTAAGGCAGGGGCAGGGCTGGAGAGTCCCTCGGAGGAAAGCCAGGCTGTCTGGCGCTTGCTGGTGCCATGTTTCTTTTCATTTTGTTTGGTGGGTTTTTGTTGTTGTTGTTGTTGTTGTTGTTGTCATTTGTTTTTGTTTTTTTGAGACAGGATCCCTCTATGTACTTCTGGCTGTCCTGGAACTCACTCTGTAGACCAGGCTGGTCTCAGACTCACAGAGATCCACCTGCCTTTGCCTCCCAAGTGCTGGGATTAAAGGCGTGTGCCACCACAGCCCAGCCTTATTTTTTGTGCTTATTTATTGTGGGCGCATACCCTACAGTGTGATTGTTGAGATCAGAACTTGTGAACATCAGCTCTCTCCTTCCACTGTGTGGGCTCCAGGAATTGAACTCAGATCCTCAGGTTGCAAGTGCCTTTACCAGATAAACCATTGTCACCTGCCACTTCATTTTTGACTGTGTACTGGAACTTAAATCAGGTCATTACTATCTTGACAAAATGCCTTGGGTGTGTTTTGAGTCCTGTTGTCTGAATAAATTGAATGGCTGATAATTTGAAAGTTGGTGTCCACATTCAACATATTAGCATTTGGGACCAAGAGCTATAACAGGAGAGGTTTTCTCTAACACCCAGCCTCTTCCTGACCATCCAGGGCAGTCCTATAGGCATGTGACAAAAGGGGACATGGTGTGGGGAGTCCTGATAGTGTCAGATTTTGAGCCAAGATAGTTATGAGTTATCGAAATGACACACACACACCCATTTTGCCTTTTTTGAAACAAAATCTCATGTAGCCCAGGCTAGCCTCAAACTCCCTATGTAACTGAAGATGGTCTTGAATTTTCTGATTCTCCTGCAGCTACCTCCCAAGTGCCAAGATTACAGATGTGTGTCACCACACCCGGTTTGCTCATTTCTGGGGGATTGAAGCCATAGCATCATGCAAGCTAAGCAAGCACTCTGTCAGCTGTGCCACCTTCCCAGCCTCTAAGCTGGGCCATACATCACATGCCACACATTTATTTCCTTCACTGGAGGCGCAGTGCAGTGGGGTTCGGGTGGTTTATTACTGGTTTAAGACCTTGCGATACAGAACCAGCAAGATGGCTCCATAGGTAAAGGCACTTACTGCCAATCCTGATCACCTGAGGACAACCTCAGAGACCCACATAGTGAAAGGAGAGAGCGGTTTAGGATGGTTGTCCTCTGACCTCCACGCATGCTCAGTCGCACATACATACAAACATATAAATATACACATACATATAAATAAACATACAAATAAACGTAAAAAATGTACTGTAAATGACAGAAAAATGTATCGTTTCAACCATTTTCAGCGTACCTCTTGGTGGCATTAACTGCTTCTGTAATAGTGTGCAACCATTGTAGAGGGATTTTAACGAAGCAGCATGGCCCCTCTGGTACATGCCCCCAGTACACACCTTTAATCCCAAACATTGAACATAAAGTTAATTGGTAGAAAGAAGCAGCTGGGTTGGAGTTTGTTCATGAGTTCAGTGCAGGTCAGCAGAAGCAGTGGAAGACAGAGCAGTGCAGGTGGCCGGGAGGGAGTGAGGAAGGGATCAAAGACAGATTATAGAGAGAACAAGCTAGACACAGGTGAAGACAAAATGAGCCGGAGAATGGGAATGAGCCAGAAGATTAGAACAGATTACTAGAGTTAAGTTTGAGGCCAAGCAGAGCAAGTCAGCATGAAACTGAGAGAGGCCAGTTTGAATCAGTCATCTCAGAGAGGAGTTTGAGCCAGAACAGCTGAGTTGAACCAGCCAGAGTTCAGAAGGAGCTAGAAAGGATGAGCTTATTCAGCAGCAAGTCTCAGAGGCTGAGAACATTCTAGGCCTAGATTAGATTGCATGGAGACTAGAAGCTTCCAGACTAGACCTAGGTTAGCAAACGGAGACAGTAAGCCTCCAGACAACAATTAAATCAGGCAAATAAAAGCTACTTTAACAGACCATCACCACCATCCACTTCCAGTTTGGATGTCTCACCCTGACCTCTTCTGCCTGTGCTCTGCTGTCTCTCTGAACTGTCCCCATGTTCTGCATGCCAAATGGAACCTCTGAGTCACCTTCCTTCATCAGCAGTGTTTTCATAGCTGGATTCCCGTGGGAGCATGTATCTGAATTTTCCCTCTTTACATGTGAATGCTCTTCCATTACCTTCATATACTCCATCATTTATTGTTTGGCGCATATTAGGCTGTTGCGACTAGCTCTCCTGTTCGTTTCATGTAGCAGGCTTTAAGTACTTGTCTTTAATTCTTTTGGGTGTGCATAAGAAATATTGTGGCTCATGTGGTGATTCTGTTTTTCAGATGCTGATTCAGTTCCCCCTTCCCATAACTGCTCACTGTTTTTGAAACAAGGTCTTATGTAGCCCAGGCTACCCTCAGACTCTCTTGGCTGTTTTGTTTTGTTTTTTTTTCCTTCCTTCTCCAGAGCTAAGGACTGAACCCATGGCCTTGCACTTGTTAGGCAAGCGCTCTACCACTGAGCTAAACCCCCAACCCCTACCTTCAGACTCTCTATGTAATAGAGGCTGACCTTAAACTCCTGATCCTCCAGGCACTACTTCCCAAGGGCTGGGATTACAGGCTTGTAGGTCCATGTACAACCTGGGTCCTCATGTATAAAGCTGCTCTCCCACTTGTGCGTCTGGGGCCCTGGTAAGACCCTAAAGACCCCTCCCTCAGGGGTGGGACCCTGAGCTGAGCCCATATACAGTGGTCCATGAGGGTCAAGCTTTGTATGCTCCAAGTCTTCCCACATTGTCAGCCTTCCCAGCCTGCTTGTTCCCACTCCTCTAACCTGTTCCTTCTTTCCCCAGCAGATGTTCCGGTGGAGAAGCTGGCCACCATGCCATCTCTTCGAGTCATCAACCTGCGTCTCAACCCACTGAGTGCTGAGGTGCGCGTCATTGCCCCGCCACTCATCAAGTTTGATATGCTCATGTCTCCAGAGGATGCACAGGCCCCTCCACCTTAGGACACACTCTCAGTGCTCACCCAGCAAGGGACAAAGGCTACTGGCCTGCCACCCTGAGAGGAGGGAGGCCCATGGGAGGCCAAGCTTGGGGTGCGGGGTGGGTGGGCAAGACAGCATACAGCAGGAGGGGCACAGCTAAGCCAGGGTGGGTAGCTTAGTACTGTAGTGAGCCCTGGTGCTCCAGAGAGAGGAAGTAGGTGGAGCTAGAGCCTGGGCTCGGGCACTCATGCTGCTGTGCTGACTTGGGCAGGTCTCTTGTTCTCTCTGGACTTGATTACTTGGGAGGAGGAAGGGTCATGGAGAGCCTTTCCTGCTTGGGACCCCCTCAGAGGTTCTGTCTCACATCATCAGACACCCTCTGAGCTCATGGATGTGCCTCGCTGGGCATTTCATGGACCTTATGATTTGAAGCTTCTTCCTAGTGTAAGAGCCTGTTGCCATCCTGAGAGCAGACCACCTCTATCTATTTATTGCCTTCTGAGGACTGAACACAGTGACACCCTTCTTGGTGCCATGTCCTGGCCATCGGGGTCCTTGCACTGGTCAGAGGCCGACCCTGCCTAGACCCTGTGGTTGGGCCCTGTGGCAGGAGTTTGTATGAAGGACCCCATGGACATCTGGCCAGGGTACAGAGGGGCAGCTCCTGGCAACTCATTCTTGTCACAAGACATTGTGGGGAGGACATTCTATGGACGCTGCTCTATCCCTCCCTGAGAACTGTCTGAGGTAACCTGGCATCACCCACAGGGCCACAGGTGAGGTGGCCTAGAGAAGACAAAGCCATCTGCACCTGTGACTCTGACCTGAGATCTTGGGTGACCTCCTTCACCGTGGCCTTTCTCTTGTGGCCTCCCTCTGGCAGCAACCTGGTTGCCTGGCCCTGGCTCAGTAACATCAACCTCAAGGCCATCACCATAATCACCAGTGACTTGCCATCTTGAGGACCTTTGCCCGTGACCTGGGGGGTAGCTGTCCCATTGTGCCTAGAACTGTGGCATTTCCCAGGAGGTGGTTGGGTCCTTGCCCCCTGGTAAGGCCTGTACTTGGGGATATCTCTGACCCCTCAATCTGTATGTGTCTACCTCCTCACCTGAGCAGCAGGTTTATCAGCTGCCCTCCCCCCAGGCCTGCCTAGTCGACACCTTTGTGTAGATCTGTGAAGGCCATGGAGGCGCCAGGACACAGGCAGTGCTGGGCCACTTTGTCGCTAAGGTTTCACAGTTTAGAATTTAACACTTGCTCAGAGAAGAAATCCATCAAAGAGTTTGTCTGGGTCCCTGTCCCCTCACACTTAGTAAGGTTGCCACAGGAGCATTGCTGGCACACACCACTGAAGGCTGTGTATCCTAAGAAAAACTGTCCATTCTGCTCTCATCCAGAGGCTAGTCAGCCAGACAAGGAGGTAGACATGGGTCAAGCAAGGGCCAGGTGCAGCGAAGACCGGACTGGCTCCTTCCACCCTGGGTCTCTGACTTGGGGGTTTGATCTTGTTGAAGAAGAGGGGGTCTTCTCTGGGATGTCAGGGGTACCCTATGGTTGGAGGCTGGCATGTGTGGACAGGCTAACACCAGCTTGCTGGAAATGCAACCTCCTGTGGTGCACACCTGTGATCCCAGCCCTTGGGAGGCTAAGACTGTAGGTGTGTGGGCGTGAGGCCAGCCAGTGCTGCATACCGCAAGCCTGTGTCAACGCAACAGCAGCAGCAGGCGAACAAAAATAGTGACAAAGAGAAGATAGTGTTATACACGGTGGTGCCCACTGATAATCCCAGCCCTCAGAGAACAGAAGCAGAAGGGTCAGGAATTCTAGGCCAGCCTCTGCCTAGAGTAAAGAATCCATGGGCTGTGTGAGACCCTCTTCAGTAAAGTAAAAGGGAAACTAAAGTGTAGACTCTCAGACCTTACAGTAGTGTTTAGGTTTTTCTTTTCTTTCTTTCTTTTTTTTTTTTTTTTTTTTTAATAAGACAGAGTTTTTCTGTGTAGCCTTGGTTGTCCCGGACTCACTCTGTAGACCAGGCTGGCCTCAAACTCACAGAGATCCACCTGCCTCTGCCTCCCTGAGAGCTGGGATTACAGGTGTGCACCAGCGTGCCAAGCTTGGAGCTGTGTCTTAACAAGAACCATAGCGGACTCCTTCGGGAATGTCAGTTTTAAGAATCAGCCGAGGTGGACTGGGTGTGTCCTCACAGTGCGGAGTGAAGGGTGTCCCCCTACTTCCATGGCTCTGAGGAACAGCCATAATGTGACTGGTACCTGCTAACTCAGCACTGGGGGCCCCTTCGCATCTTAAATAGTTTCTCAGTCTTCTTGTCGCTGGAATGGTCATGATTTCGGTCACCGGATGACGGTCAGGTGTGCTCTGTTCCCCCCCCCCCCCCCCCGTTATCCCTGCATGCCAAGCGGGGTTGCGCCTGGAAGTTGTTCTCTACGCTGCCTAGCCATTACTTTCTGGCCGGTCAGGGCAAGCTTGGGCAGTCAGAAACCTCCGGATCCAGGCTTACAGTGTGAAAAAGCACTTTGCTTCAGTCTGCAATAAAGGATGTTGTGTCAGTCTCATTTGCCTGTGCTTGGCTATTTTTTTCCTTTGCTTTTTTTTTTTTTTTTTCCCTGAGAGAGAAGGGGGCGGGGTATTTGATTCATTCTCCCAGCACAGACTCCTGGAGATGAGGGCGGAGTATCACCTGCCCACCTTTGAAGAGGCACTACCTCTGTGGTGGAGAGCGTGGAGAGCTTGGTTCTCAGATGAACAGCTGCTATGGTCATTAGATCAGTTGGCCTGCCTGCATGAGCCCTTCAGGACCTAGCTGTGGATTGTGGGTGTTCCCTCAGCGAAGGACGGTGGCGATCACCAGACCCACATGTGAGATGCCAGCCCTCCTCCAGCCACTTGTATGCAAGTATTAGGCTAGAGAATGTTAACTGAGAGGCTCCATCCATGTGATTACAAAGACCCTGTTATCCGTGCTGGGTGAGGGCTTTCCTGTGAGGCTTTTTTTTTGGGGGGGGGGGAGTCACCCACAGACCTATAAGCAGCTCCTCACCCATGCTCTGTAAAGAAACCCAATAAACTCATTGGTTCCCCAGACTCAACCTTGGCAGAGTCATACTTTGGTTTGCTCTTGGTAGGGAGGTCGATGTTTACATCTTCCCCAGAGGAGGATTTCTCAAAACCAAGGTAAAGAAAGCTGCCCTGGGGAAGCCACACAAAATGTGGCCCCTGCTGAGCAATGGGGTGGCTGTGGGCCTGGAGAAGGCTGTATCCTGGGAAGGATGAGCGGTTCACACCCCACACTCCCCTGCTAGTGGCAGACATTGCACCCTTTGTTACTCATCACCCAGGAGCAGGATGCTCGTTAAAAGCTCACTCACCCCAGATGTTCGTCAGAAGCTCAGGTTTCGCTAGTGCTGTCCAAACAAACCCTCCTCCTGGTGGCTTTGATGTTCCAACTAGAACTGCTGTTCTGGGTTCAGCTTTGATTTTTTTTTTTTTTTAAGTTGAATTGGACAGCTTGAATTTACTTTGAATTGTAAAACCAGATGCACAAGGTTTTTTTTATTGAATAGGCACAGAGAGTGCTCAGCAGGTACAGGCACATTATGGCTGTTAAGGTGTTTATCCCTTGCAGTCTTAGCAGCTGTGTGATTTGCAGAAATCCCTGCCCCTCTCCAAGCCTTGCTTCAATATGAAGGGGCTGTGCCGAGAGATTCCTGAGGAGCTTCCTGGAACTCATAATCCATGTTTCTTGGACTCCAAGGGTTCTGCTATTAAATGTCCCACACAAATCAGGCCTCTCCTGTCAAATGCCAGCTTTCACAGAAAAGCCTTGCTTGTCCTTTCTGTAGGGAGTTTCCTGTGAGGAGGCTGAGAGTTGGAGCCTGGTTTTTAGGGAGGGTTTTCCATGCAGGTGGGGAGCCGTGGTTAACAGTACAGCTTAAGATGGGTGGACTGTACGCTCACTGGCCAGTGGTAATACACGCCTTTAATCCGAGTACTCAGGAGGCAGAGGTAAGCAGATCTCTGAGTTCAAGGCCAGCCTGGTCTACAAAGCAAGTTTAGGATAGCCAGGGCTACACAGAGAAACCCTGTCTGAAAAACAAAACAAAAAAACAATAACAAAAAGCCAAATGACTTGTAAACTCTGGTGCATATTGGATTTGAGAAAGACCTGGAATGAGGAAATGCAGACTCAGGAGGGTTTGGGTGGCCATGCCACTACTCACTGTCCCCCACAGCGACTGTCACCTAGACTGTATGGATCTTGCTCTGGTTGGGTGAACTAGGAGCATGCTAACTGTGGACCCTCTGAAAGTGCCAGGAAGTGATGGATGCTGGCTTCCGATTGCAGACGGAGAACCCGAGTCTCAGGAGGTCAGCAGCTCACCTGGGGCAGAGTGCCTACCAGTGGCAATGCTGGGTGAGCCCTACGTCCTCCTGAGTTGTGGACCCAGGCAGGTGCTGGCGTGATCCCACACCATCCCAGGGAGGCCTTCACTCATTTGCTCCAGCTGAGGAACCTCCTGTGCACTAGTGCTGCCCTCACGGCCTCCAGGGCGCTTCCACAGCGGAAATGAACTCATTGTGCTGTTGCCGCTTGTTCGTTTTGAACTGTCTCCTCCTCAGCCCCCAGCCCCATCCTCATTCTTCAGCTATAAGACAAATTCGCCATTTGCCTGGCCTATTTCTGACACACGAAGGAACCGGGACGTGGTTGTTGAATGTTACCCAGGGCCTGCACAGGGGTGAGGACTCGGCAGATGCTTCTTGGTGACTGAAAGTCCCTGAGTCGAATAAGATATTTGTTCATTTTATTTTCTGGGCAAGAGGTTATTGGGATGAAACAGGTGTATTGCAGGTGATAGAATAACAGAGTTCACAGAGGTAGCACAGTGTAGGACCAGAGGGGTTGCATTGCTGGTTTCCCACAAAATAGAATGTTGGATCCCTAGAAATCCTGCTTTGAAGCTACTCTTTGCCTGAGATGTGTGCTGTTGAAAATAAATGGTGTTGGGCTAAGTATGTTTATTATTAGTCCTATAATTATTAGGGTGGTATTATCACAGTCAACAAAAGACACAGACACCTGTTAGATTTATAATTGCCTTATGTTACCTTGGTCTGGGCACATAATTCCAGCTACTGAGAGACCAAAGGGTTAAATATCAGTGGCTGTTATTTTAAAGTTTAAAGGACAAGCCTGAACTAAGGCCAGCTGGGTGACATGTCCAGCCACCTGCAATGCCCTGAGGGGAAGAGTTAGCCTTACCGCATTCTTTCTCTACCCACTAGAGATAAAATTGCTAGGAAACTGGCCCCTCTCCCCTAGGAAGGGAAGCCAGACCATTAATGGTTTGGGGGCCCTCCTATAGCCAATCAATTCAAAATGTAACATCCCCTTTTGTGTTTTGACCAATAGATGCTTGCCAGGCAGGAATCCCCCTGCTTTAGGCATGCTGGGAGGGAACTGAATCTTTAAATCACCCAACTAACTTGAGCATGAGGCTCTCAGCTCTCAGCATTTTGGCGGTGAGGGTGTGTGAGCCCAAGCTGTAGCTTGTAATAAAAAGATCCTTGTGTTTTGCAGTGGACTCGACTCCTGGTGGTGGTCGTTTGGGGTCTCGCGAATCGGGCACAACACTACAATATCTCCTATCTCCCAGCCCACATCCCATTCCATCTGCTTTAATCATTCCTACCTGGGCTACCTACCATCCATGATACCAAATACTTGCCTGTATCCTTCATGTGGATCAATCCTTTCCATGCCATGCTCGGAGTCTTTCTCTTGGCCCACGTGGTTCTCTCTCCACCTAACCCATGATGGCTTCCTGCTCTCTTCCTGTCTGTCTCTTCCGGCGATTCTCCTGTGCCCCAAAGCCGGGGAACCTTAGCCACACCTATCTCCTGTCCTGCCCAGGTGTAGGCCTGGGCAATCAGAGATAATTGGGGAACATTCCTTCTCAGCAGATGGTTACAGAAGGTAGTACAACATTGTAACAATATCCATGGCACAGCAGTAACCAGATCTCAAGACACTGAAATCAGCATTTGGAAAATAGCACCAGACCAACCCCCAGCAGATGTGCTTGTTGCTTCCCAAAAGCCAGTCTAGGGATCCAGGGGGTTGGCATCTCAATAGAGTCCTGGGAGAGGGCCCAAGGCCAGACAGGGTGGGCCTGTATAAGAGGTAGGTTTGAGAGAGGAAGTTCTCAAACAGCAAGACCATGCTTTCACACTATAGCTGGGCTCCCCAGGTCCA